GTATGTATATAATCTTTGGTGTCTAAACCAATAAAGGTCTATAGTTTTGTCTGCTAGCAAAATCTGAATGTCCTTGTCATATTTCTTCATTCAGATCCGGATGTAATTTTGTTTGCCTTATTCAAGATAGATTCAATGTTTGAAACTGCCAATATTTTAACAGTAACTCAGGCCTACGGAGATTCAGTGATAAAACAGTTGTTTACTATTCGTGGACGTCACGTGGCCCAAAAAAAATCACTTTTTGCAATCAGGTTGACATGGTCTATCGTGTTAAAATGTAGCTACTCCTTCGGTGAAGCTAGTCGATTCATTAACCCTATCATTACAGAATTCGTGAACCAACATAAAACAGGGTTCCCACAGAAATCTGATAACCATTTTCCGGGACTTTTTTTTTCAGGAATTTCCAGGACTAAAATATGACAATTTCCATGACAGTTAACGCCAATTTGCAGAGAAAAGTTATTATGATACTTATGAACCGCTGATGATAGGCTAACAATGTGTTAGCTTTTGAAAACAAGCTTTAATTACTAATGGCCTCCTCCTCCGTTTACAGCCATTTCTTAAAGCGGCACATGAAAAAAATAATCCTCACATGATCTTGATTTCCATGACTTTTCAATGACTTTTCAATTTTTTTCCAATTTTCCATTACTTTTCCATGACTTTCCAGGACAACTTTTTTCCATGACTTTTCTAATTTTTTTTCCAATTTTCCATTACTTTCCATGACAACTTTTTTTTCCAGGACTTTCCATGATTTTTCCGTGACCGTGGGAACCCTGATAAAATAGAAATTAGGCTACCTCTTCTTCCAATCCACTCACCGTTTCACTTTCGAAGGTGCACTCGTTTCGAAAAACTTCTCCAGCATTTCGTCCAGTTCATCCTCGGCAAAATTGGCCGTATCGAACTGAAGCCCGTCTTCTGTGCCAGACTTTTTCGAGTCAGCAAACAGGCGTTCTGCTTTGGTGACGCGAAAACGCCCTCTGGCGGTTCGATTGTGAACGGCTGCTCCCGAAGGTGGCCTGTGAGCAAAAAAACAAAACAATAATAATAATTAAGGAACATTAATTACCACATTCAATGGGCCATGGTTTTCAACCACACATAATTAAGAAAAAGGAGGGAAATACTTGCAAATTACATCAAAACCATTTAATGTAAGAAAACATGTTTTCAAAATTGAAAATTCAGTCACATACAGAATACAACTGAAACTGTTGTTGGGGCAACCATAAATATGTACAAGATGAAGCATGAAAAGCCATATGTAGGCCTTCAAGATGAAGCATTAACTGAGCCATTGAACGGGGCTGAGCGCCCTGGGAAAGGGCAATGTTGACGGCGAAGCTGTCTAAAAATAATTTATAGATTTTAGTAAATTTCTTGAACTCACAGAAAGTTGGAGAGGTTCCCAGTGAGCGCCTCAATCGGATCTTCCTCCTCCTCCGAGTTACTGGCTCTCGTAGATCCTGCAGGTTTCTTGTCCATCGTGTCGCTCGTGATGGCCTCACAATACAATGCGCCCTCTACAGGTGGAAGTGTGAAAAGCAGTGTCGGATATGGCCATTTTGCTATTTTGTAGTTTTGTTATAAAATGGAAATGAAAGCGCGCTCTGCACGTCGTTCGGGATCCCCAGAAGTGAGGAAACAGTCTTCTTTCAATTTCATAATTTTGGCCATGTTCGAGTTTTATTTGACTCCTAATATGCTTCCCGAATGTACGGTCTGCTGCACGGTATTCTGTTTCATTGAGTGGATCCTGGGGAGACTAATAGAGCCAGAGTCTGCCAGACTCTAAATTGCATGAAGCCTAGGACTAAGGAGAGGATTGTGTTGCAACAATGGGGCTGATTGCGAATTTCCCAATGCCATGAGCGGTAGGGCTGGCAGCAACTACGCTAAAATATCTATGACGCAAATATCTATGACAAAGCTTAAATATAATGGCTACAAAATGTAGGCCTATCTATAGTTTCATTATCCATGCTGTTCTGAAAATTTGTTCCGAACAAACAAGCAAACAAATTTCTGGCCTACCTTTTCACACGAGATGTGCTGAGCTAGTTGCCTTTTGAATACGACCGTGACATTCGGTAACTTGCAAGCAACTAGGCTGTCAAGTCTCTGTAAATGTCACCGTGTCTACCTATTGCACAAAACGGTATTGCATGTCTCGGGATTTCCCCGATTTATTTATAGACCCCGACCGATATTATGCATGCAACGCATGCGCAGCAGACCAGTGTGAATACTAAGGAAGCCTAAAACGGTCATCTCCAGTGTGTTCTTCGTTGTTATTGTGAAAGACCGCAGGGGAAGCCCATTACAGTAACAATTCCCCCATAATTTTGTGTAAAATCGCATCATAGCTGAAATTTTTTTCTCATTAATGTTACTTTTAGAGAAGCAGGACAAAGACAAAAATATAGGGGAGGACCTTTGAGAATATTTTTTTTCTTGAAGCAGTGGCGTACAGGATTATCAATGTTTACTATAAATTTATTAACATTTCACGAGGCCGTACGGTTAAGGGAAGTCGAAAATAGCATCTAGGTTCCTCTTCGTCTTAATAACAAAAAAAAACCTTTAAAAAGACACTTACTTGGCACGCGAAAACAATTCGGGTTTTTTGTGGGGGCACCTGGGGGAGGGGACACTGGGATTTTTTTTTGGGGGGGGGGGCACATGTCCTGAGCCCCCCCCCCCCCCTCCGCTAAGCCACTGATTGTATGATTTCCATGCCCATTCGAACCGTCGCCCCATTTTTGCTTTGTGTAGCATTTTGCTGATGGCTTCAAAAACTTTCAGTTAAATATTATATGACCCTGTGCACAATGGAAGTGTCTTGAAATATAGTCTGAAATTCAAAAAAACGGGTGTCCAGAGGGCAGAGGGCGCACTTATAACGTTTCAGTTACGTATCTTTTAAAAGAATTTTGAAAGAGAATGTATATATACCATTACTGTTTGCATTGACGAATTCAAAAAACAAAAAAAGAATTAAAAAAAAAAATTGAGGTACGAAAGACAATTTCCCAACTTAAAGGCATACATTTATGCCAGAGAAATTCATTCCATCGAATACATCGAATTTGCACTTGCACTTATTTTCAAAACCTTAATATTATTTCAAATGTACAACAAGGGTGGATGGATATATGAACCACTTCCATCTCCACGGGCTGCTATTGAAGTGGGCTTAAACTCTGGGAACGAAGTTGAGTCGACCCCGCTTCTGTAAAATCAATAGCTTCCCGATCGAGTATAATAAGACAATTACTATTATGAAGCCTACATTATTGTGCCAATTGAACGAAATCGTTAATTATTGAAAGGAATCGATGTAATTTGTCTGCGTCGAAATCAATAATTCGTCATTGATCAACAATGGGTCAGACACAAGCAAGAAACCAAACTCGAAGAGATTTTTTGTTTAAATATACATGTTAATAGTATAAAAAATATTAAGAGCCAGCCTCATATTATTTGGGAAACATTGTTACTTGTCATTCATCAATAGTGCTCAAGAACCGTTTTCAAAAGACAGTAAATCATCCGATCTGGCCCAAGGGCGGATCCAGGGGGGGGCAAAGGGGGCCATGCCCCCCCCCCAAAAAAAACCAATTTTTTAAAAAAATGTTATGTGACATCGCAATAAAGGCAGGCAATGAGTACACCACCATCTTTTCCTCAAAAAAAACATTGGTTAAAGTGGTCAGAAATTGCCTCAGATCGCACCACAGAGCATCTAGAATCCAAAAAATTGTCGGGGCCCTAAAGCGGGCCCCGAACCTCACGCCGTAATTTTTTGATCCGCTTTTTGGGGGACCAAATTTTGCCCCCCCCCCACAATTGTGTTCTGGATCCGCCCTTCATCTGGCCAAAAATCAGTATATTTATGTAAAAATGCATTTGATCAAAATTAACAAACAAAAATCAAGTACACAGCCTTATAACTATTCATAAAAGATACATTCATTAAAAGATAAATGAGATTAGAATATTGTTTATAACACCTGTCTATAATTATGATCTAAAAACTACATACATTGTACAACGCATGAGGCAAGTACTGTACCTTGTAATATATGCATAATTAGTATGGATACAATTTATTTCAAAACAAAGTCCTTATTCGTGTAGCTAAGTGTGGTATTTGTCAGAAATATGCTCTTCGAGGTAACTCGCCTATTTTATTAAAAAAACTGGATCCAATCAATTTCTTGTATTTTTTTCATTTTTTTTTTTATATTATAATTGCCAAATATATGCCTTTTTGAGACGTAACGTCATGCAAATAATAACGTCTGTTCTTCCAATATCTATATATTCGGCCAAAAGTCCTTAATTTTCCAATTATTTTCAGTTATAATTCATTATTAACAAATAGACGGTTTCATCGTCAATTGTCCCATATTACATCAATGTTCTCATTGTTATGGATAACAAAACGTTTAACTCATATTCATTCTTCACATCGACATTTGATTAGTGTATGCCTGATAATAGAATAAAACAATTGAAGTATTTTGTAAAGGTGTTATAAACCATTTGGATAGTATATAATTGGCCTTGAGTTCCAAATACAGTCAAAACGTAATTTATCTTGGGAATTTTCTTAATCAGGCCCTTAAACTTCGAACGCGAGCAGGGAACATGACAACATTGCCATAAGGCTTGCGGTTCCCTGTCAAGGGTCACCACCAGGGCGTCAAGCGCTTCTATAGTGGGGGAGGCGTACCATGACCAGAAATAATGCAAGCGTGAAGCTCGGATCCCTTACAGCATGGGGATCGGGGTTCATCATTTAAACACAATTTTTGAGGTTGGAGTAATTGAATCAGCTATTCTGAGCAATAAAATCAAATAAACGCTACAAATTTCAATCGGAGACGAAAAATGTATGGGGGACAAACGATACGATATTCTCCCACTTTAAAAAAAAAAAAAGAAATTGGGTGACATTTGATATTGTGTCCCCCATCCTTCAAAAAGTGAGGGAGGGGGCATGTCCCCCTGTCCCTTCCTCCTCAGGATTGACGCCCATGGTCACTACCAAATTTCCAGCAGCCTCTTCACCTTCATCTTTAATCCCAAGGATCCCAGGAATACTTCGCTTGAGCACCGTCCCTGTTGTATCGCCTGACCAGCTGCTCAGCGGCCGCCCTGCCCAGCTCCACGAAGATGACTTGACGGAACAAGCTCCCTTCAACTGGTAGCCGGAAGTTGGCTGTAACGGGCAAACATGTGTAAACAAGGGCTAATGATGGAGGTATGAGAGACACAAGGGAAGATCCAGGGGGGGCAAAGGGGGGCATGCCCCCCCCAAAAAAAAAACACCGAAACCATTTTTGTTTTATGTGACGTCGCAATAAAGGCAGGCAATGAGTACACCACCATCTTTTCCTCCAAAAAAACATTGGTTAAAGCGGTCAGAACTTGCCTCAGATCACACCACAGAGCATCTAGAATCCAATTTTTTTTCGAGGCCCTTAAGCGGTCCCCGAACCCCACGCCGTAATTTTTTGACCCACTTTTTGGGGGACCAAACTATTTTTTGGCCTCCCAAAAAATTGCGTTCTGGATCCGCCCTTGGAGAGACAGTGTTGTGGCATGAATGATATATGATAAGTCAGCTTGTCCTACATTGAAGTCACACCTATTCACACCGAAACTATCACCTAAATGAAAAAGCATTAAGAACCAGCAGGCTAGCTTATAGTTGAACACACGATCAGGTCAAAATAATTTTGTCATCGTTTATTTTTCCAAATGCAGTCGGTTGCAAAGCTCAGCTTCACATTTTTGATACAAAGAAACACTTTAAAACTTTGTTGAGGGCAAGTGTTTTTCTGTGTTTTTTTTTATGGGACATTGATCCCCTATTATAATCCTTTTACAAGATACAAAACAAATCTCCTTCTCACAAAATCTTCGTTGTTATTCTTCGGTAATAAGCTGGTATAGCCCTTGGGGCGGGGGGAGGTGGAGAATAAATCAATTTCTGACCGAGGGATTGGTCATTGGAAACCCCCCCCCCCCTCCTCCCAGATTTTTGTTGTTAGACACAAAAAATGCTGAATTTGAGGTTATCTTTTAATTTTCCAAAAGACGACTGAATTTATTGAAAATAATTGTGAAAAAACGGAGAACAAACATTAAACCAAAGCTTACTATGCACTGTTTGTATGTAGGCGCGCAACATTTTCATTAGTGTCATGAACAGCGCCTTCTAGTGTCACGTGTCCACGACCGGGCAAAAATTTGGATTATGCCATTTGGCCACCCTCCCTCCCCTACTCGCGAACACGGATTTACTCCTCTGTCAATATACTGTCAGGTCACTGGACTTAAATGATGTTGCAGCCAGGAGGCAAAGACGAAGACACGAAGCGACGCAATATTCGAAAACAGTCTACTGACTGTCATTATTTTCGACAGTCCTATACATATTACCTTTCATTTTCAGCACATCACGATCTGGCACCATCTTGCCTTCCTCCAAACTGCGCTTCGTAATGCGCGAGCGGTATTCCTCATCGGTCGGTACCACCACGATCGCCTTGCGGACGAACCCCTGGAACGGACGCATTTTCCGCTCTCTGGCAGAGGAGTACACGTTGGTCTAATGATGCCGAGATTAAATACAAAAGGGAGAGGATCGGAAATTGGTGTTCATAAGAAATGTCTACATATTTGTACATTCTAACAAACTTAGGCTATACGCACACCTCTGGTTAAAATGTCCAACCGAGGAATATAGTAACAATTCCCTTCTACTGTTATGACTTTTACTTGACATACTTCAAAAACCTTTAGACATAAAAACTTCCGAGGACTTAAGCTCTGGACGTAAGGGTAATTGCTATCCGAGCTACCATTTTCTTTTGTAAAGTAGGCCTATATAACCCTAAATGGACACGCCCTCATGCGAATCCAAACACATTTCTCGACATCGGATTCTGCTGCCCACATACAAATCCCTCGTTAGTTTCCGAACTGTCCTGTGCATCCAAACGTTTGAGCTGTAAATAATTGTGGGCATGTTTCTCCGACCAACGTATAGTCCTTCTCGAACATTAGTCCCCCATCCCTCGAATCGCTTCTCTCGGGAAAAACTGTATATAAGACAGAGGCTCATGGCAAGCTTTAAGAAATCGCTTAATAAATGATCCAGCTCAAGGGCAAACAAAAAGGCACACCCCATGTTGGTGAGTCTACAGATGGAAAATGCGTTGTTCGGGAACGATTCTGACTGCATGTGAACACCATTATTGAGTCTAAACACTTCGTACAACTTCCTCACCTAATGCAAGTTTTATTTGAGGTCCTATTCATAAGAGATATTCCAAAAAGAGAGGGACACCAACCAAAAAAAAATTGAAGATTTCACCTGATCAAGGATGAAGTTGCGATTGTGGCTCGCTGCTTTTTCAAAGAACCGATTCAAGCAGTCATTCGCAGTCTGAAATAACTTTTCCCAGCGCTCATTGTAGTTACGGTCGCGCCGTAGGCCCATTACCTGCAATTTATGGAGTCCGAGTGAGAGAAAAAAAGAGAGTATGAAAGTGGCATCAAAACAGGTGATTAAATCCCAAGGATATTCCAGAGGCGGATTTTTTTTTGGGGGGGGGGGGTTAACACCAACACAAAGACCCCCTTTTTGTCACAAAAAAGCAAAACAACAGAAACAAAATAATGTAGCACATGCCGATTAACCGACCACCCTATTTTTCACAGCTAAGCCCCCTTCTTAAGTCGAACCTGAACCTGGGAATATGCAAATGACCCATTCCAGAGATATTATCCAAGAATCGAAAAGTAATATAATAATACATTGCATTTTCACCTGAAGTGTGGGAAACCAATTTCCAAATTGTCCCTGAAATTCTTTGCAACTTGAGGTTTCAAGCTTCTCCTGACTTCGTTTTCCTGTGGTCAGCTGCATCGTCTGATCTTGAATTTTTTTTAATGTCCGAACACCCACCTTCATTTTATCCATGATGCTATTTGTGCCCAGTATGTAGTATTTTTTCTCTGGGTGTTCCCTGCGATATTTCTCCACCCATACACTCTTGCCAGCGCCAGGCAGTCCAATCATCATCAGAATCTGAACCAAAAAGACATCACGGCAGAAATTGTGTTTGATAAACAAGTGAGAATCAAACTAAATCAACCGAAAACGGACCCAACCGAATTCTTAAAAAAAATCTTATAAATTCGTAGAAAAAAAAATAAAAGGGATGTTATAAATCCTGTTAGAATTTGTTTATACCATTTGAGTGTTGTTGATGGAGTTGAAAAAATATACAATCAAATTCAGACTCAAAAAATATATTTACATAAACTTGAATGGACAATGTGTATGCCGTATCCTTGCTGTGTGATCCTCAGGTATCTCTTACCATATTCGCAACATTTTTGATGATTCAAAACCTTGACTTGGATTGTAATCTCTGGCCACGTGGCACATCATTATACATGCAGTTCTATGGCTTCTGATTTGTACTATCACAATAAAAAGCAGATGGCAAAATTTAGATTCAAAAAATGGAAAGCGCTGCGGTACAGCGTTCTCGCCAGGGCTCGCAGGTGCAAGTCATTATATCCACTTAATTGCTACATATCCGTGATGTATCTACACTGACTTTGGATGAAGAATTTCTTTGTCGTACCTCACATCCGGCTTTTGTAGCTGGGGCGAGAGGGCCAGGTACACGGTCACCAACGGGAAGAGCACCAATAAGGGTGAAGCCCGCGGGTACTGGGATGTAAGGCTGGGCCTGCAAGTGAAATTACAAACAATGTTTCGACGTTACTGAAAGCTGCTGCTTTATTAAATAAATAAGACGGAGAACCGATTACTGATTTTTGTTGTCTGATCTGCAAATGCGTGTTAGTGCAGCTTGAAATAATTCATACACAATGACCAAATTCGCCGAGAAATGCACTGGGTATCTATTTGAAAGTGTATTTGTATTTATATAATACGAATATTATATGAACATATATTTTCAAGGATTTCATAGGCTTATGCCATATAATCCATAGCAATGCAAAGATACCGAAATGTACACCGGAGTATAAGCGAGCATAAAGACCAGAACTTTCAAAATTTTGCATACACGCAAATAATCAAGTAAGTTATCATCAGTCAAAATGCACGTTCTGACCCATTATGACTGAAAAACATGCAATTGAAAAAAAAAAGACTCGATGTTAATTATTGAACAATTAACAGGTCACTAACGACAATGATTTTATGTTGTATTTTAATTGTCTTACCCGCTGACCGAAGTTGACAGTTACGGCCGTGTTCTTCAACAGTAAGTGCGGGAACAGTGCTTTGCCTGCTAAGCTGTCAACAACATCTACCACAGGCCCAATGTACTCTCTGTTCTTCCAATAGGAGAAAATTGGCTTGTCGCTATCGTAGTCCTGTATCAATCAACACGAATGTAGGGTACAATTTCTAGGCCTGATTTGTGGTGAAAAGCCGATAACAACCTCTTTGTCAAAAAAAAATGATTATTTAATTGTACATGCAGTGCATTTAATACTGAAGTATAAGGAAGACTGTAATGACTGAAATGTGAAAGCTTTAGAACTTGGAAAACGTTGTTAATGTCAAAATTGTTCAGATGGTGTCACCATCGATTGAAAAGGCCAACGACGACTTTTAGGCGAATCAAATCTTAATCTGTTGACTTTCGACTATAGCCTTATTAAGTTGGTAATGGGACGTTTTAGAACACTTGTCAAGCTGGCAAATTTCGTTTGAGCGCATCTACCTTTTAAACCTACAGGCAAGTAAATAAATACAATTCTTGATCAGGTTTCTAGGATCTTCACCCAAAACTTATGATTGACGAATTCCTCATGATTAATAATCTTACCAGACATGCTGTGATCACATCTCCTGCTCTGAATGTCACACCATAGTCGCGAAATGTTCCCCTGGTAGAGAATTTAGCTGTGCCCCCGTAGCCGTAGGAAAACTCATCCTCACCTTCAGTAAAGTAAAATCAGAAACATGACAGGCCTACATTTTGACATGAAGACAGTTTTTGAAAATGTCGGAGCTGTACACTTGGTGAAATTGAGTATCACTAATCGTTTTTCATTATATATAAACCATAGAAAGGAGAGAGAACCTGTTATAGCAAATTTTTGTAAGCCTCAAAATTGCACTGAACTGAATAATTTCATAGTTCGTAATTAGGCCAAGTAAAACAAAATGTTTAGCGTCCCGCTTTTTAAAAAAAAAAAAGGAAGGAGGAGGACCCTTTTTTCCCAAAATGGCCGCCCCATCGAGCTACTTTTCAAGATGGCCGCCAGCTTTTTTTTTAATGGCCGCCACTTGGACTCAGAAAATGACATATCAGCTTTATATGGGCTAGATGCAACAGACAAAGAGGCCAGAATGATGTCACTGGTTAAACTATATTATTTTTCCGGTTTTTTTTTAATTAAAAAATATATATATATATATATATATATATATATATAAGGGAGGCGGCCTCCAAAGAGAAAGCGGGCGCGGGACGCTTAACATGTTTTTTTTTTGTTATTTGGCCTTATTGACACATTTTTCTTTAATGGTTTGTATATCATTCAAACTGTTCCTTGCTCTATGCGTATACAAATCTATGATTCACATTTAACTGAGCCAAAATCATTGTGAAACATGTTTTAAATTGGCTCAAGAATTATTTGACGAACGCGCCCCATACAAGTCAGGGTTTGAAAATGATGATGCCGGTCCCTGAAGCTCAAGATTTGGTAAACAGTGTATACACATCGTCGACACATTTAAAACAATTGTCTGTGTCAATTTTGGGATTAAAGGCATTGTCATGTCTTCTTTGCAACAAGTGGTTGATGGGACCATAGAATGGGGGGGGGGGATTCCCATCCTCCCTAGTCACGACGCCTATGAATAAATACCCCGAAATAAAATGAAATCTTAGCCAACTTACCCAACTGCAAAGAAGCAGCATCCGTGGACCACCCAACGCGAATGATATGAGGGGAGGTTTCATCTGGGGGAAGATGGCGAACGTCAAGATGTTTCTCCAACTGAAAAATAAAAACATAAAAGAAGCACATGATGTTTGACAAGATATATGTACAGCGTGTCAATAGTAGTCAAACAATTTTTTTTTCTGAGGAAGCCAAATCATTTGTGGGTAAAACGATGAGACGATAACGTGTTTCTTTGAACTTGACATGATTTTTGTTCTGTGTGATTTGGTCCTTTTGTTTAAAAGTTACGGCAAAGCTTGTAAATACTGTCGAAATCTGTTTGGGAAATGTTTCAGATTAATAGGTAATTCAGATTCATTAATGTAAATACATTTTTTGACCCTTTCACACTACATGTCCACAATACGTTTACACTCTGAAACTACCAGAATGTTAATTAGGATACTACCAAACACTAAAAACAAACCACAAGCTGCCAAGTCAAGAAGTGAAAGTTTGGTGAAAGAATTGTTCTTAGGTGTACAGCTTTAATAATAATAATAATTTGGGAGGCTAATCATTCTTACTCGCAGCTGGTATGCTGAATTGCGAAGGACGCGGCTACAACGTGGTCGGGCCGCTGGCACGTAAAGGCGCCTATGGCTGCCGGCCACATCGACCCATATATGACCACGGAGCACAGCCTGAGATCGAAAGTGTTTGATTTTTCCGGAGGGAGGAAAACCGGAGAGCCCGGAGAAAAACCCACGTGGCACAGGAGAGAACCAACACACAACTCTACTCACATGCGATCCACGGCCAGGATTCGAACCGTGGTCACCTTGGTGAGAGGCGAGCGCTTTACGCACAAGCCACCCATGCTTTTTTACTGGGAAAATATCAGCGTTAAGAAATTCCTTTTTGAATATGGGATTCTGCAAATCCAACATACATAGTTTGAGGAAAGTTGTGCCCCAAACTAATGGTCCTGAGGCGTTTGATGTGTTTGAATTACACCAATGAAAGAAGTGGCTTTGGTTCATGAATATGCATCTGGTGTAATAGCGGCCAATCAACCTTGACTTGGAAGCAGACTTTTCCTTTGTTCACGCCGTGGGTTGCCTTGACTCCGCCCCACAGGAAAGCAAACCCCTCGGTGCATAGAGGTTGGGCTGAAAATCCACCATCGGTCACAGTCACATTCAGGTCAGAAATATCTGCGTTTGAGTGGAATAGACGGAGTAAATCTTGGTTGATTTTTTTTATAAAGCCAGACAGATTCCTGATTTTCTTATGACTTTCATTTATTCTATGTAATGTCCAATACAAAGTGTCGATTTCTTAAATAATACATGTACATGTATAATGAATCGTGTTTAATTACCTTAAAAAGTGCCGAGGTAGACTCATGCCTATTTAGGCCCATGCACGAATGGAATCTTTGAATATTGATTACCGTAATTTCACCCCAGAATTGTTAACTTGAGCTAAAACGTCTTATAACACTAATCACCAATGTCTGTACTAGCCTATCAATTAAAAATAAATGGGCCACTGCATTTTCAGACGCGTAGAAGGGGTGGCACTGCCACAGTGGTACGATTGCCAAGAATCCAGCTTCTTTCGGAGTTTTGTGGTTGTTTTTTAATGGAAAGGTAAGAGAGATTTAGTCTTTTGACCTTCTGAAATGTTAGGCCCCTGGTTGCTTACATTTACTGAGCATGCACACCGTGGCATTCCCACTCGCACCAACTCGAGGGTTATTCCTATAAAAAAAATAGTTTAGAAAGTTACAATGATTCGTGACTAGTGTTTTCAAATAATATGTAGTTTTTAGATATCCGCCGCTGCTTGCCTTAACTGCAGCCTGAACATATTGAAGCAAATTCCTACGTAATGTGCCCCACGCCTAAAATTTCGAACAGATCGCTGATCTATTCTTGCCGCCATTATGTACAATAATCCGTTGCATGTACTTCGTGTAAAAAAAAACATGTCCTTCTTTTGATCCTAAATAACTCGGTTGTTTACCAATGGAATTAAACATCATGTAAACAAGGCATGACAAATTCTATTGAGCGAGTTTTATCAGCTTAAATGCAAGAGGGTGAGTTTAAACGCCATAAAAAACTCACTTTCAGAATCTGACACTTTCCACTTGGCGTCCCACAATGTCGATACAGCGCTGGAGACGGTGGCAGAAGTCGCGTGCTGTGGCCGAAAGCTTCTGAAGGAATGCAGGATCATCCCTGATGTCATTGCACACCTCCTCGATCGTGTGTTGCTCCAAACGATCCAGGAGGTGTGCAATGACATCAGAGGTGATCCTGCATTTCTTCAGAGGCTTTCGGCCACAGCACGTGCCTTCCGTATCTACATTCTAAAAGTGAGGGTTTTTTTCGTATATGGCGTTTAAATTTCACCCTCTCGCACCAGCTGACGAAACTCGCTCCATAAAATGTGTCAAGCCTTGTTTACATGATCTTAAATTTTGGTTTAATTCCATTCGTAAACAACATAGTTATTCAGGATCAAAAGTAGGACATGTTTCTGTTCTGACACGGTGGTAAATGTAACAATATAGCTCAGAGTGTTTCGTTTATTGCAGCGAATATGCACAGAAGCTTATACTCAGGTGTTGTCTGGATCCCATTGATACATAACCATTGCGCTTTGGTTCCGCTGCCACGCACATGAGGTCAATACACTTGATTTGGTAATTCCAATAAAACCCAAACCTTCTTCAATGTGTGTGGTGGATGAGGATACAGAAATAGACCAATATGATAACACATAACTCCCTTCTCCGTGATGTAACTTACATGTTTGAAGTGAACCAGCCGCCACTCCGAACCACCTGTAATCCGATAATGGAGAACTGTCTGCCTGGATCCAGACAGACGAGGATGAACATAACCCAATGAATCAATCATGAGAATTGCTCCGCACCGCTAGCTACAGTTCCAGGGGAATTCCCGCGACTAGCAATAACCCAGCCATACCATGACATAAATAGCCCGCATCGCAGCGGGTCCACAAAGCGCGAGCCCTAAGGGGTTTTCCCCTTTTAACCACACTCAACAAAACAGACTAGACCTACACATTGGGGTGATTGTTAACTTGACCCTTATTATGCGAATGACACCTAGTGCACAACGAATGCGACAAACCGTCTATCACATTGTCGTTCGACTGTAAGTGTGTAACTATGCAATTATGCTTCAAGTACTTTGGATGGTTTCAAATTGTTACACTGTAAGATCGGAAACATTAATGTTTACACAGCTGCGTCAACAACGATCGTGATAGCAAATAGGGAAACTCGTATTATTTTATTGCTTCCATTATATGTTTCTGTTCAATTTCGGACTTTAAGACTACATTGATGCTGCGTTAGTGAAGTGTGCATATCATATTGTCTTTAACCGTGTTAGTCAATACAATATTTACAGTCGTCATGTTTATTTTAACTGGCTTTCCCTTTATGAAGTCATATTAAACAAATTAATAACTTTGTATAGCTATTTTTGTCCTGAAATCCCACCCTCACCTTGATTAGCATATTGAACAGGTTTCCTCTCATGCAAATACTATATAATGTTTGGAATAATTATTCTTACCTTACATTGCAAGGCTGTTTGGTTAAAGGGTTTTCGAAACGAATTAATGCATAAAAAAATATTCCACCAAACACATTACTCTGAACACTTTTTTTTTGGCTATACATCGCAACATGTTTATTTTTCTCAAATATTGACAGAAATATATTTGTTTTTACACGGCAAAGATAAATATAAACAGCCGATAGGCGTTTGAAAATATGTGTTTCATATAGGCATATGTATACGCAGGTTTACGTGACGCCTCTGAGTTCAATTAGCTGCTAACTCTTCATAATTTACAATTGAAATGGTCTCCACCAAAGTGTCATTCTCAAATATCAACCAGAACGAGTGCTTAAAGATATACTGTCTGTGCTCTATTTGTTTTTCTCCTGACGAGTTTCTAATTTGTATGTTTCCTAATTCTTACCAAAACCCTTATTTTTTTTTTTATTCCGGGCGTCTGCAATCTTCTTCAACAGAACAATTTATAATGAGATGGCCTCTAATGCACAAGACAAATTATTGTCGGACCGTAAACAATTCAGAACTAGTAAAGTAATTAAAAAAGTAAATACTTTCATTTGTTTAAAATAATTAAATAATCTGGGGGGCTTTGTTGAGGCCCCAACTTGAAAAAAGGACAGTACCGAACTTTAAACCCCGAAATTGTCAAGGTGAGCCCCCCCCCCAAAAAAAAATAATAATAATAATAATAATAATTCTGCTTCCAGTTACCCTACGTACACTATTCTGACAGCCCCTACCCTATTTTTTTTTTGGGGGGGGGGAGCTGGGAATGAGGAAAAAAAACCGAAAACCATAAATTACTACGTTTGCCCATGACTGAACGCAGACACTTCCATATGATCGTACACCAAAAAAATATTGCCAAAAAAAATGTCCCACCTATAGCTGCGGTATTTTCAAATGGCATGTAATCAGAAGCAGAAATACATTTGTTTTGGCCTTACATTACATTCTAAATACACCGCCCAAAGCATGTGGGTTTTACGCACAAAAAGCCTTATACACTACATGTACATAAGAAAATGAAACATTATACAAATTCCTGTTTTAAGTCCAATTATAATTTGTATTAAACTGTGAAGCTATGTACAACATGAATGGGGAAAATGGAATTGAAGTAGATGAATTTAAATCATCTGAACCACATTCGATTGCTCTACTAGAGCGTGCACTAAGTTGTCGGCAAATTCGCTTGCCAAACATAATGTGACTGATCTTATCCACACTTGGACTGTGTTTCCTGTTGTGCTGCATTCACTTCCGTTTTCTTCTATAGTCACGACCTATGCGTTTCCGGCTTCAACCCTTGTTAAACCCGGAAGTGTAATTTGTAGCATACAAGGGGACAGTTAACTCCTTCGTCAAAATCGTACATAAAAGAAGGAGAACAAAATGACAGGAATATTCATGAAAGATGAGAGAAATAGTATGAAAAATAAATGTAAAGCGTGAAAGTAAAAAGGTCACGAGGCATATACCAAAAGAAACTGCAAATGTAAGAATTTTTGCACGTTAATGTTCGTATATTCAAGGATTCCGGAAGCGCCACCAGGGGTAAACTTTCATAAAATGATATTTTGTTTAATAAAATCATATGGCAAAAAGGATTCAAGTTACCCACTGCAAATTAATTTAATATCCAACTCCAACACATCTACATTTTCAAGCCACTTCATATGTCACAACAACATGTGATGTCCATTCATTAATCAAGAAACGAAACATGCCATGCCTTGTAATAAAGCCTGTGTCATGAAAAGCGCTCGGCAGATGTTAGAAGCATTTACATTAAATTGCTTTCCAAATTACCCCTGGATATGGTTGGCTTGGTCAGGCAATTGCACCATTATTACTGCAAGTTACTGACTTTTGAAAGGAGTAAAACAGTCATTCGCAAAGTTCAGAAATTTGGATTCAAACTTCTTGCTGATGAGAAGTTCCACTACGTCAGGTTAAATAAAAAGTGTGATATTTCACACCATCCACCCCAACCCCCCAACCCCCCCCCACCAAAAAAAAAGAATTCAAGATGACTCTGAAACGATCTGCCTCTCCTTTTTAGCCCCTCCCCTAAAGAAGAGTCTGTTGAAATGATTTATGACTTGATGGCGCAGCGGATCGTCTTTCGGCGCATTCATGTATCACGATTTATTGTCAAAACCACACTTGTTATTCGTGAGTGTCCGCAAATGAGAAATACTCAACAAATAAACACAGTCACGCCGCGATGGGATGATAGCCAGCCAACGAAAATGTGCCATTTATCTTCCCATTCGAGAGCAGTGTTACGACTTGTTTTTGTGAGGAAATTCTCGGGAAGTGTGTTAAGCATTGTGATAGGACATTATTTGTAGGCCCGACTTGTGTATGGCTAATGTAAACAAACTTCAATTATCAATACAGGTCTCAAAAAACTCTAGGCTTTAAAATTTGTGTGGGTATTGTGTTGTGAAAGTTGGAAAAAATCAAACAGATGCCAAAAAATATAGTACAAATTTCATCAGCCTAATTTTGGAATCAATCAAACATGTTTACATTGAGCTCAAAATCAATCTGTATTCTCAACATTTTAGGTCTAACTCAATTGCTTCAGTTACTTTTGTTGCTATCTCTCTGTCTTCAAGACTAAAATGCAATCATTTTCTAACTTTTACTGGGGAATTTTTTAGGCTTCATTTGTATGATATTGCTCAACAAGGCGTAACTCGAACTATTTCCGGGTATTTTAATGAGGCCTTTTAGCGGTCTCTTCTTGGTTCGGGCGTGTGCACATTGTTAAAGACTGGAAGCTTATAAACACATTGTTATGTTAATCCTGTTCTTATAGTTGAGTGGAATATTGCTATGTTTCAGCCATGGTGAGTGAGACAGATTCAAAATGTTGGCAAGGAATAGAAAAGGGGTCAAAAAGAGGATTTGTTAGGAAACATATTTTATAACTTTTTTTTTGGGGGGGGGTGTTTGGTGGTGCGATCATATCTATTTCGGTTTGTTACCCAGACGTTACCCAATGTAAGCAACGCTCAAAATGACACTACATTCGAGACTAAACAACATTCCACTGTAATGACTACAGTGTCACGATGGTCGAACTCAGTCTCTTAAGTGAGGGCGCACTGTTTTGCAAGACACAAGAGCAACGGACGATCGACTACACTGACGTTAGGCTCGAACCAAGACTATCGATATACCATGTGCAATTGGTAGGGCCAGTATCACAACTCCAGGGGTACCACTTATGATAATTTATTCGTACGTCAACAGGCCAGTATGTTTATTCACGAGGACAGAACAACGATATCAAGAGCATTGTTGTTATAGTCAACCCGTTACACTAAAGCATTTTAAAGAACGGTTGTCGTCGAGCTACCACACAGTAGCCTAGTGGATAGCGTTTATCGTTGAGATAATTTAATTTAAGGTGAAAAGAGAACGAGAAATGAGTGTCTTGCAATGATTCATAGGAAAAACATAAATTATCATAAGTGGTACCACTGGAGTTCTGATACTGGCGCTACCTGTGCAATTAATCAGTAGCAGCGACCATTTGCTCCTAAATAGCCTTTAGGTTTACCAGTATTAACACCGGTCGTCTTAAAATGAGATACGATACACTTCAATGCACTCTTTATATTGTTCGAGGTGCCTACCACAAAAATATTTTCAAGCAATATATACAAAGCAATCTTTATGAAGCATTTTCGATATGAACTGTTTACGAGGACTTTCATATATCTTACATCAGTTGGGATAGGATACATATAAAAACGGATAATTATACATTCTCTTCAGATATTCTAGTATATTTCATACTAATTTAAAGTAGGCTATATATTTACACTACGTATGTTATAATACACAATTGCACGACAACTCGTTTAAGAGATGGAAAAGGAGGCCTATCTTAACTACCGATGACACCCTGAACGTAGTTCAATATCATAACGGTAGTTCCTACATAAAACTTGATCACGACGTTTTGTGTGACATCTTGCACATTATTTATCCGGGTTTTGTTGGGCCATTTTCCATAATAAAAAACACACCTCGTCTCATGTTTATTAGGTTACCGTTAAGAAAATTGATAATAACATTTACAGCTTTTTTTTCGCTGACGATACATTTAAATGTCAAAACTTGAGAAGAAAACACTCCTTCTCCTTATAGTAAAGATTCACAATAACGCATCATGTTTCATTAATATTTCTCAGATATGAAGAAAGCGATTTCGGGTCAACTCGTTGCTACAAGGCATAGTGGTCTGGACAATGAAGTTGTGGTCTGCGGGTAATTCTGCAGGTTGTGGGTTACGGTGCGTGTGCCCTTGAGCAAGGCGCTTTGTCACTCATTGCTCCTCTCCACCCAGGAGTAGATGGGTACCTGTGAGGGCAGTGTTGGCTACTGTGAGAGGTTAATTACGGCCAAGAGCACCGAAACGGCTTCCTACCGGTCGTGTATGTTCCCTAGCGAGTTGAGGTTTCAGGAGTGTTAGCTCGTTGAAACGGAAAATATAATTGTAAAGCGCTTTGATAACCCCGCTGCGGCGTAAAAGCGCTTTACAAATACCTGCTCTCATAATCATTATCATAACAAATCCAACGACCAGATGCAGTCGAGTAACACAAACTTCACAGTACATTTGGGTTCAGGAATAACGGGGTACAAAATGGCAGCCAGCAGTGAACAAGTTTGACAGTTAAAACAATGCGTCGATTCCTTTCTGGTCATTTCCTTGTAAAAGGCCGCCCAAGATGCGCAGTTCTTTGTGGCTACCCGTACTGTGGTAGTGGGTGATTGTACTAAAATCGTTAGGCTCAGAGGCTAGTCTCAAAATCGTCTGACCTACCCAGATTCATTTGCATCGCCTTGCATGTGACATCTCGATCAGTCGGTGTCGTTGAGACAGACTGTATCCCACTATCGGCACGGCTGTTCTTCCTTGTTTCCTTGGACGATTCCTGATCCCACTCTACCTGTGGAAGTAGCGACGAACTCTCCTTACTTCTCGAGTTATCTTCGCTGTTGTCATCAGTGATGCAGTGCTCTACGATACGCGGGCTTATTTGTCTCCGGCAGAGTCTCTGATTCTCTCCCTGCTTGCTCTTGCTCGTAGGGGAGTAAGATGGAATCTCATTACGATCACCGTTGAGTTCTTCGGGAACCGGTGGCAGGCCATCGACGACATAGACGTGCTCATTGGGTTTCTTGCTGCCGCCGACCTTGTTGCTGGCTATCGGGGCTAAAGGTGGTGCATCCCATTGGTTCTGACTCATATCCACGGTAGGTTGATTCTGATGTGAGTTACTGCCCATCGTCACCACCAGCTGCAGCTCGATATTCATCTTGGGGCTGTTGTCTGGACTGTCTTTGTCGTAGGACACCATGGAGGGGCGTGCTTCACTCGTAATCTGCGTCATGACAGAGGCTGAGGAACCACGATGGGATCCCTTGGGGTTGACGTCTCTCATCGTGGTGGAGTTGACTTGTGACATGGAGCGCGGGCTACTGGTGCATGTCGGACGGTACTTCATGGCGCGCTTCTCACACATGCCGTGCTTGGCTAGGAGGAGGAACATGTCGCGGCGGAATGCTCTGGTGAAGATGGCGTACAGGAAAGGGTTGGCACAGGAATTGATCGGGTAAAACAGCACGATGAAGACCTTGCTTTGATCGGTAGTAAGGAACCCATGCTTCTGATCCTGGAATATCGACGACAGGCCATTGATGGCGATTGGAGCCCAACAGGCCAGATCGGTGAAGATGAGGACAGCCATTCGCTTAGCTACTTTTGAGTCCTTCCTCTGCATGGCGGAATGAGGGTTTCTCACCGTGACGTACATTTTGATGTAGCATGCGCAGATCACGATAAAGGCCAGGGCGTTAAACAGCAAGATGAAAATGACGTAGGCTACCGATGCTGCACCATCGGTGGTGCGGACGTAAAAGGGAAGGCACATGCTGGTTACACCGTAGGCAGCAAAGCCAAAGAACGGCAGTGAGGCGATAATTACGGCGAAAAACCAACCTCCCAGCAAAATGCGACCGGCTTGTCTCAGACGGATGCGTTTGTTTAAGTCAATGGCATAGATGATGGTGTACCAGCGCTCGATGGTCAGTACCGTCAGGGTAAAGACGGATAACTCGCTGGAGAATACCGATATGAAACCTGCAATCTTGCAACCTGCTCCAAACTGCCAGTCAATGGCGTGGTTGAAGTAGACACGAAGGGTGTAGACGTCGACAGAGGCGATAATTAACAGGTAAATGCCCATGCAGAAATCGGCAAAGGCCAGGTTGCACATCAGGAACTTAGGTACGGTCATCTTGCGCTTGTAGGCTATCAAGACCACCATAACGATTAGATTACCCACCATTGCCGTGCTAGCGATGAACCAAACAACGACGCGCAAGAACGAATATCCCATGACATCAGAGCACGGGTTGAAAGCGTCAGGACGCGGTGAACAGTTCACCTTGGAGTAGTCCTTGGGCACGATAGGACCGCAACTGTCACCATGTGTCTTGTGGGTAATGTTGGGGTCGATGGTCTGGTCCACGAAGCCACTGTTGTCGATGAAGCCACTGTTGGGGTCAAACTCTTCAACGCTGGGTTGCATGTTGGAAGGAGCGTTGGTTAACAGTGAATCCGGTGGAGGTTGAAAATGCGAAATGCTGGACAAATTGACAGAACTTCCTCTGCTCAGTGAACTCTTTGGGTCTTGAAAGAAATCGTCCTCGACCAGATGGGCCGTGCTAAAGCGCGGTTTGGATGAATCCCTAATATCGTCGGCTTCAGAGCTTGGGTTAGGCGTGGTGGAGCATGAGGAGTTGTCTCTGGGCTCCATGATATTATGCATCTTGGCCATGTGCTGGTTTGCCGAAGTGTTGTAGATGAACGCACAGCAGTGACTGAAGTAGTGAAGCCTGGCAGTCTGGATGTTCTCGAATTTGAAGAGCGGTGGGAAATGTTTGAGATTGGGTGTGTTCTCTATGTCCAGCACTATGATGTTCTTCAGTCCCAAAGTTGGTAGTTTGCTGATTCTTGTGCCCGCCAGATGCCTGTAAGAAATGATTGGTGAAAACAAACTGTTGGCATTTAAAGGGACCATGACATGAATTTTACTTGGGAAGATATTTTGTGCAAGTTTCGACTCCTCTTAAATGTATAAAAACAAATCGACATCCTTTTTCGTGCTAATCTTACTGAAAAATGGGCTTCTCTATACATTTAACATTTCCCATCATGCTTTGCCATGCAAATGAGGGCACTGTTGCTGCGGTGTCATTTCAGGAAGACACTGTTCAGTTTAGGGGATTTCTGTTCAAATTGTGAACCAAAAATGTGTTCATTGAACACGTTTGTGAAAAAAGTTTGCTCATTGGCCTACTGCCATGTATTGAGACAATAATGAATCAACAAAGAGAAGACATTTTATGACAGCAAAATATCAAGATTTTGGCAAATTGTGGTGCTGAATCAGCTGTAACATTGAGGCTTATGCCTGAAACGTCATCACAGTTTTGCTCATAAATATGCAAATTCACTTAGCATAACAACCAAAAAGGCAGCAAAATGCCCTTGAAAATTGCAAAATTAAAACTGAAAATAAGGTTAAATGGCACACAAAGGTGCATTAACAAGGACCGTATAAAAAAATTACTTTACATTTGCCCTTTAAGTGTAATGGAAGGGGGATGCTTATAGGGAGCCGAGCATCCTTTAAAATGGAGGACGCTGTACATGGTTTTAACTTGAATGTGCTTATGTGTAAATAATGTTATTTCCCCTCTCTCCTTTGTCTTTTCTTTTTCCCCTCTTTGGTCATGGGGGATGAACCCCCAAACCCCTTTCCTCCCTTCGAAAGGCTGCTAATCCGTAATGTTTCCCTTGAATGCCACTGAACTCATTGTAGGGGAAGAAGAAAAATAAACAATCAAAACTTAAGCGTGATTTAACTGATTAGTCAATGATTGCTTAAGATATCTTGCTTACACTTCTCGGAGGTCCAATATCCCTTCAAAGATGTTGTCTTCTATATAGGTGATGGGGTTGTTGGACAAAACTCTGCAGACACAAAAAAAACGACAGAGAAACAACGACTGGTGAAGTATCAGTGTCTTGTCTGTTGAAATCAGTCAGTTTACTAATGCATCTATGCGGTATGTCTTGGGCGTCGCCAGGATTTTTTTCCAGAGGGGGACAAAGCACATTATTTCCCATAGTCATTGTACTTTCTCTAGCATATTCTCAATTTATAATCTTTTTGATTGTGGGCGGGGGACATTTGCCCACTGCACCCACATTGACACCCCTGCGGACGCCCATGTTGTTTAATTTGCATTCAATTCAAAGCAATGCGACTTAACATCTCGTCTTCTCCTTGTTTGTTTTTGTCTTTCTGCTTTTATCGTTATTATTTTTTTGAATATTCCGGGGGGGGGGGTTTCGCTGTATATAAATGTCAAGAACTTGAACACCAACAACGAGGAAAATATATTATTAGAAAATCACTTACAATTTCACAATGCTGGCACCTTCAAAGACCTTGCCGTAGACGGACGAAATATCATTATAAGAGAGATCGCTGTAAAACAAACAAAATAACCTTTAATGAATTAAAATTTAAACAACTACACTATGAAAATCGCTAAAGAAAGTGAAAACAAAATGTTAAAAACTTTGAAATATTACCACCAATCATTTTTATAAACATACTATCTGCTAAGCATATACTGTGTGGAGCGGAATATAAGTCAGAGATCATATAATAACTCCCAATAAATTGATTAATACATGTAGTTTAATTACGAATTTTATTGAGTTTGTAACATTTTCTGACAAAGCTGCTTTATTTAGCAAGCCAGCTGTCACAAACAAGCAAGACGGCCTCTCGATAAGCTCTGGAGATTTGGGGTGAGACAGCCGGACTTAGAAATGTCAGGTGGCTTGCCTGCAGTGGAACGATACGTGGCTCTTAATTAGGGCGAACCTTGATATCTACTGCTGAACAAGAATATCTCAAGGTAATACCTGAAGAAATCTATCGTTTGAACTTAATTATCCCTTCCAATGAAGTTAAATCATTATTGCAATCTACGTAATGAAATCCCATTCAACCAACCCTGTTTAATTATGTTTTTTTCTTAATACTCACAGATTGTAGACTTCAAATGACAATCCGCTGAAGGTGTGTGGCTTCAGGGCAAATATCTTGTTGTTCGACAAAACTCTGCAAAAAAAAATAATACAACGAAATTGGGTCATTTCTTTCGCAGATATAATTACTTTCATATACATACAAGACAGAGTGAAAACAAAAATGTTGGTAAGAGTATGCAGGACGATTGGTATAAAATAGCCCCGGACACTTGGCTAATTTGAGCAAAAGTTTACTCGCAACTTCGGGAAACGATTAACCTAAGGTCGAGCAGCTAATCCCCATATTTCAGCGTGTAGGCCTATCCAAGCGAAAAGTCCTGTGTAGGTTGATATTTTGAGGAAAGATAATTTGACTTCACCAAACCCCAATAAATTATACGGGTGTTCACACCGACCACGATTGATGTTTTTTTTTACGCTTTGCTTCAATTTATACCGACGTCTATTTGAAAAAAAAACAACCATAACTTACAATTTCTTAAGAGTTTCATCGTTTGGGTGAAGAGTCGTCAGGTTTGGCGCACTCTCTAGTCCACAACTGTCCAGGGACCTGAAACGGGAAGAATGCAGAATCTATTTCGTGACCATTTTTTTTAAAATTATTTCATGAACATCAACAGCTCTACATATCAATACCACATTCATGTATATATATATGCCAACAAGAGATGTCCGTGTTATGCAATAATTCTCCTTTTCTCAGTAAAAATGTGTTTCTTTTGATCCGAAATAACTCTGTTGTTTACCAATGGAATTATACCAACATTCCCGACCATGTAAACAAGGTATGACACATTTTATGGAGCGAGTTTAATCAGCTTTATGCAACAGGGTGAGATTTGAACACCATACGAAAAAAAAAATACCCTCTTTCAGAATTTACCACTTTTGACTTTCAATTCAATTCAATTCATTCACATTTATTTCCATTTCACATTCCATTCAATACAGATTAACTCTCGGTGAATAACAAGTGAATATTAAGATATTGAAACTAGAGGTGGCTTCCTCCAATGTCGATACAGCGCTGGAGACGGTGGCGGAAGGCGCGTGCTGCGCTCGAAAGCTTCTGAGGGAATGCAGGATCATCCCTGATGTCATTGCACAACTCCTTGATCGTTTGGCGCTACACGCGATCGAGGAGGTGTGCAATGAGTGATCCTGCATTCCTTAAGAAGCTGTCGGTCGCAGTACGCACCTTCCGCCGCCGCGTCTCCAGCGCTGTATCGACATTCTGAAAGTGTATTTTTTTTTTCGTTTGGCGTTTAAATCTCACCTTCTAGAACAAAGCTGATGGAACTCGTTTCATAAAATGTGTCGTGCCCTGTTTACCTGAATTTTGGTTTAATTCCATTGGTAAACAACAGAATTATGTAGGATCAAAAGTAGGATATTTTTTGACACGTGGTACCTGTGTGATACTATAATTGCCTCTTTGGGTGAACTCAAGAGGGCGCTTGCGCGTCTGGACAGGGTTACAAGAATGTTTTTCACTGCTTTTGAGACAAGAGATACTCACAAACTGGTCAGGCGAGGCAAATCTCCAAATACCCCCGGGCCAATTTCCTTCAGCAGAGGCGAATGAGTGAGCACACTGAAAAGATTCATGAAGAAAGAAAAAAAAATAATGCTATCGCCATTACTACACAATGCTAGTCAGGAAGGGAAGATTTTGACGAAGCGAAAGGGGGAAAAACAGTGCATTAACACATGGAAGTTCAGAAGGGAGAAACGATTAGTTTTGTCATACAAGGATTAAATAAGGCATCTTCTGGAGGCAGCGGTGTAAAAATATAAACAGTATTCATGTAGTGCAATTCAAAAGTCTCACATACATGCTTAAGTGTGACGTTCCCCCATGCTCACTAGAAAAAACAAACATTTTTTTAAGTGTTTTTTTTTTGGGGGGGGGGAACTATCATCTTTTAAAAAAAATTTGGTCTTCACCAATCCAGAAAAACTTCCCTCCCGTAGCCAACTGTGTCACAACCTAAATGAAAATCATGGTAAGACCGTTTGTACAATTCCAGTAGGTCATAAAACCTGTCATTTAGTAATTTGACATTTATCGATAGGCTATACAATTATTAACTGGTTGTCACTATATTTGTCAGTCAGTCCCTTTGGAGAGACGTGTATTTTTATTCGAGTCAATGCAGCCATTACTGAATTGTAATTCAGACAATTCGAATTGATTCCCCGCCATGACATGTGGATGAGTATCCCATTATTCCAATCGGGGCAGCCGTCTAGTCCGATATGAATTGAAATCTCGGTGAAAAGGTGACTGAGTGATTTCTCCTCAGTCCAAAGAATCAACAGGAAAAGTGCAGCTTTCAGGTATGAACAAAAAGTTACCCATTAAACTGAGGGGAATTTGTTTACTTGAATTTATCCAACCCACTCTGATCAGCGTGATTGATTGAACGGAGGTTGCGGTCAACAATGTTGATATTATAATAGTCACCAATTAGCACTTTTTTCAATCTGATGTACATTGTAATACTTTCTTTTCTTTCGAAAATACCCGTTTATTGCCCTTGATTGGACGGGCCAGTAGGACACGAAATATAAATGCAAAAAAATATATAGAACGTTACACACGTTGTAAATCCTATACTTTGATACATGTGCTGTATTCTCGTAAACTCTCGCAGGTTTTTCAGGTGAACTTGCACGCTCTGTTCCAATAGGTCATACAGGGGCGCTCTGTTTGTCATTATGATAATTCTGCCATGGGGATTTGACATTCGATCTGGTTGTCACTACGTTTGTCAGTCAGTCCCTTTTGGGAGCCGACTAACTTCATTTATTCGAGTCAATGCATCCATTACTGAAATTGATGAAGACAATTTGAATTGATTCCCCGCCATGAAATGTTAATATCACTTTACTCAGATCAGTGCAAACCATGTAGTTCGCCACGAATTGATGTCTCGGTCAAAATGTGACTGAGTGGTTTTCTTTCAGTCCAAACCGAAGACATTAAAGATTTTAGGGTATGAACAAAAGTTATCCATTCAACTGAGGAAAATGGGTTTTTTATTATTAATTAAATTGGTTGATGTAAAATCAGTCCATAATTATTGAAAAACGGGGGTTTGTTTGCGAAATCTAGTCTACAAGGAGCAGAAATGTTTTTAGTGCAATTGTCTCATTAAACTTTACGAAGCACATGGATGATTGGTGATTTTTTTTTTCATTTCCCATTATTGTAAGAATTTGTTTTTGTTCTCAGGAAAGCATTCTTTTACCTCATGTGTTTGGGGTCAACCAAAATGAATCATAAAGCAGGTGGATGTACATCTGAAAATGTCTCAAGCTTTTCATATTTTTTTTTTTTGCGGAGAGAGGCATGCATGCGGGAGGGTCTGCCCGATAGTCCGAAGGTTCCATAGTCCGAAGGTTTACTGATCCGAAGGTTCGATAGTGCGAACACACACATTTCCCATGATCAGGGGCTCATGATCGGGGGTTCAATAGCCCGAAAATGAAATAAGGTTCGTTATTCCAAGCATTTGATGCGATAGTCAGAAGGTTCGTTAGTAGTCCAAAGGTGCGATGTTCAGAAGTTTCATTTGGTACCACGAAGCACAACTGCATTTGGAAGAATTAGTAACGCCTCGTTAATTCTCACCACAACACTTCAAATTCAATCATTCGCAACAAAAACCTCTTGATCGCGCTGTGCATTGCGAATTTATGTAGCTATTTCGGCAAGTTAACAGCTCTTGTTCTCGTTAAAGTCTTTTATTTATTTTTTTAGCTGTTTCGGCAGTTGCCGAAACAGCTCTTGTTTTTGTTATGATATTTTTTATCGAAATTTGTAGGTACTTAGACGGGAACGTGTTACAAATGAAAATTGAAGAGACGTCACAATGACGTCATCACAAGTCATCATGGGCGTCGCCAGGATTTTTTCTAGGAGGGGGGGCAAAACATATTTTTCCCCAAAAAATTCCTGTATTTCTCAACATATTCTTGATTTATCAATTTTACCCCCATTTTGCCCCCAACCCATTAAATTTACACCAATATGACTTCGCGCCTCTTTCTGTTTTCTTTTTTCTCTTCTTTTTGTTCTTCCTTTTTTTTGGGGGGGGGGGGCTTTTCACCTTGCCCCCCCCCTTTCGCGACGCCCATGCATGTCATGTGACGTCACGTTAAAGGGGCACTTTTCTAAAGCCTATATCTAAAGAACTATAAGTTCGATTTGTTTGTAACTTGATTTGTACCTATCTGGGATGTGTTATTAATAACAATTTAAGTGAAGTCATTATGACGTTATCACGTGTCATGTGACGTCACATTAAAGGTTCACGTTTCTATGGTCTGTATCTAATGAACTATAAGACTGATAAGGTTGTTACTTGATATGTACCTATACGCCGGGATGCGTTATAGATGAAAATTCAAGTGACGTCATTATGACGTCATAATGTCATGTGATGTCATTTTAAAGGAGCATTTTTCTTAGGCCTGTCTCTTAAGAAATATAGGTCGGATTTGGTTATAATTTGCCAAGTTGGTATGTACTAATTATAAACCGGGATGTTACAGATGGAAGTTGAAGTGAAGTGATTATGACGTCATTACTTGTCTTTCTAAGGCCTATAAAACTATAGGTCGGATTTGGTCATGGGCGTCGCGAGGGGGGGGGGGCAAGGGGGGCGCTTGCCTCCCCTCCCCCGGAAAAGCAAGAAAAGCAAGAAAAAAAAGAGAAAAAATAAAAGAAAAACAGGCGCGAAGTCATATTGATGTAAATTTAATGGGTTGGAGGGGCGGGCAAAATGTCCCTGCCCCCCCCCCCTCCCCTCTAAAACTGATAAATCGGGAATATGTTGAGAAATAGAGGAATTTTTTTTGGGGGGGGGAATATGTTTTGCCCCACTCGAGAAAAAAATCCTGGCGACACCCATGGATTTGGTTGTAACTTGGAAAATTGGTAAGTAAGTTGCAACTTGGTAACTTTGTAAGTTGGTGTTTGTCCACAAACACATTCATGGTTCTTTATACTTACATTGCTGTCAATCCATTCAGATTGTTGAAAGTCCCGGGCTCGACAGTTCTCAGCTTCAGATTTTGTTTTAGAGTACTTCAAATGGGGAAGAAAAAAAGACGGGAAAAAGTTATTGCTTAAAATGTGGTGCTGCTGTGCTCCTCTGTATAGGCCTTTTTGGTTAAACGAAATTTAACCTGCAGTCTGCCAACATCTTTGGTCTCTTTACCAAGAATTTATTGTAAGATCAACCTTTACTGCACTCGTTCTGATGTCCTGACCCATACAGCATTTCGGACTTCACACATCCAGATAATTATGACGAGTTTTGCGCGCAATACAAAGAAGGCTTCGAAACCTTAAACGGTAGATGTGTGCACATGCGCAGTTTGTACACTTAGCCGGTGTCATGTGAATGTTGGACTCAAAAGAAATCTGGTCTCTTTTTACTTTATAATAGAATCTTAAACCTCATATACACACATGACCAGTCACTTTTTAAATTTGCTTCACTTAGGCATGTGCAATCAACGAGTCTATATATATGACTTGAAGCTTTGCATGGCGGATGACATGAAATAGACAAGATTGCGGGTAACACCATGTGGAAACCAACCGGTTCTTTTCATAACCTCACTTCTTCCAAGACGAGATTTCTTTCCACATGGTGTTACCCACAATTTTGTCTATTTATTTCATAGAGTCTACGTTTCATAGAGCCAAAATTAACATTACACCAGCTCCTCTTAACAAAAAGTCATAGACAGAAGAGAAAGTGACCTTATGTGCCTAAGCTAAAACGGCGAACTCAGGCTTTGTTCTACTCTCTATGGTTGTATAGATTAAACATGAAGATTTCATTTTATTAAGACGTGCATTGCCCTGATACAAAGAGCCCCAGTGAGGTTTAAATGTTTGAAACAGCCACAGAAAAATTACCTCCAAGCCGTTAATGTATGGTTATAAACCTGAACATCGCAATATGCTTAGTAGATGGGAGGTGATGCCGAACATTCTAATGACACACTAACATGCTTAATGCACTCTCACTTGAGTAATGGTTCGATTATGGAAGAAGCACTTCACTGTAACACGAAACACAACAGATGTTCGAGTACAAGTATCATTCGGGCACTTGATTCTAACAACACCGTTTTTCATCACTTGAATTATTTCCGTAACCTAAAGTGACGCACGCGTTCGTTATAAAAACCTGTTGATTTGGTTTTAATATGAAGTAATTGATCACCGTGAACACTAAAAATAGGGCTTTTGGAGTGTTTTGCCTACTCACCATATTCACGGTAAGCAAAACTAAGCGACTGTTTCGTGTTTTGAAAACATCGGATCAACTATCATAAGACAAGTGTCTTATAAAACGAAACTGACGCAATGACTGTTTTATTTTACAATATGGAAAGACCCCTAAACGCCGTCACCTTTTCAAGAAATTTGAGGTACCTGTGTGCTAATATAACTTATTTGAAGAGCAAATGAAAACATGAGATTTCAAAGAAACCTAGGTCCACGCTACGCTATTACAATAATCTCAATTTCAGTTCAGTTTCAACTAAGTTCTTTTTCCAATTGGGCTATTTATAATACTCTCGTGGTTTCCATTGAACATGATTATTTATGGCAAATTTATTTCACGATAACAGTTTCTAATATTTAGAATAGATTTTTGCCGTGTAGTCAATTGCTACTTGTTATGTTCCTTTGTTGACAGCCGGTCGTTGAGAGTGCGTTACGCTGTTTAATTAAAACAACTTCCAACATCAGCTGCTGCTCCACTTTGGCACTTAAAACAACATCGCCCTCAAGTGTCAGGAGACACCCATGCGCAGGGGTTGCACTTCACTCGTACCCCTCCCCCCCCCCCCCCCCCCCCCCACCGCCATGCAAACAGGGCGCTGGGAAGGGCAGATGTGCTTCACAGAATCTTGTGAAAGAAGTGGGGATGGCATTCTGGGTAATTTATCATGATCTATGTATAAAGCATCTGGCTGCAGCTGTAGACTGCGGTTAGACAATGCACTCAAATACTATCCGAAAAGTTTGTTATAGAAATGCACACACACCATACCGGATGTGATTTCTTTTTCATTGCGGACATTGTGGACAAATTTTGAGCGTCGAATGATATGCATTTTCGACACTTCGTGAATTCGAAAACGGAGCCTGAGCAACTGACGGGATTTGAAAATTTACAACACCGAAAAGTTTTACAGATTTTCGTACATTATTTTGCTTTTCAACCAAAAAAGGGCGCCATTTATGAATGGGAATGAAAGAGTGATGAGTGACTCAGTCTTAACGGCCGTTTCAAACATTGCAGGGTCGTGGTCGTGATGATTTCCAGGTCACAGGTCACGCAAAATCTATCCAATCAGAGCGTTAATTCGTCAGCCCTTCCCAACGTCCTGTTTGCAGGGCGGGGGTACGAGCGAAGGGTTGCACCAACAGCGTATCCGATTATTCTCCCAAATTTGGGTATTTGCTCTTCAGTTGTCAGTTCATTTCACGAGGCCCTTTAATACATGCCCTGATTCTTGTGCCACGCATGGACAAATACAAAAAAAAGAATATTGATGTCACGGGCGATTGCGGTATTGATGGGGGCCAAAAAAAAACTTTAGTGAACGTATCAATTCCCCTACTTCATGCTAAACATTCTTCCAAGCGTCCATGCTATTGAACGCATACATGAGATGTACCTGCGTCCAATTCATTCATTCCACCTCGTTATTAGTATTTTGAGAGTGTTCAGTTACGACCCCTTGGTTCAGCAATGTCTAGATTTTCATTCAAAATTATGCGCACAGCAGTAATTGCGTTTCGTCGAAGCCGTCGGCGTAGTGAAGCAAATGAAAGTAGGAAATATCTCCCCGTTCATTCCACCTGAGGCACGGGAGACTTAACCACCTAGATGCCTTCATTTCCTTTTAATTAAAGGTGGCCATTTGTCTTCATTATTTGATGACCTGTTAACCAGTTCCCCTCTTCAACAAAAATCGCTCACTGCCCCGGATCTCCGCTAGCCTCGATTCACTTCAAGGATCCCTATCCATTATCAAGAGGCAGCGCTAGCAAAACCCTCGCAAGAGGGAGTTAAGTTGGCCTAAAAAAAGGAATCATTCTTCAGTGTAAGTGAGTAGGTCCACAAATTAGTTTACTTACATGCTGTTGAGAAAGGTCAGATTGGCAAAGTTTTCCGCGGACAGCTTCTCCAAACTAGTGTCGGTGAGAAACCTATGATGTAAATGATAGAATCAGAAGGAAGTGGTGGTTAAACAATGAAAATGCTTGGTATGTCTATGTATAGAGCTTGGATTTTAAATCTGTTTCGCACAGGACGAAATCTTACGGCTGGTCCAGAGACAATGAACACACACATACACAATGTTTACGACATACCTAGTGTGGACATTCCATTGCTTTCGTGTACTCTCACTGTGAAAACACTTTCAATCCGTTTTGCTTCTATGATTCCAATTTAGTGTTTCTCTTCATTTTGCCACACATAAACCTATAACCCCAAAAATGCCTCTGAACCTGTTTTCCAGAAAGGGAAAACACTGTGTGGACTTGCCCACGTCCACACAACGTCGCTGCTACCTGGTTTATGTGGACCTCTTTTGTTCGGGAGTCCACACAGTGAATGTAATGTCTACCCGTTTGTTTATGGTGTAAATCGAGGATTCATCTTCCCTTTTCCTTTGTTTGCACTAACTTTTTCGCAACAGCTCTCATTGGTTTTGTACACGTTTTCCAACCGAGGAGTCCTCGATTCGGTTTCTGTCCTCGATTTATCGATGATGTTGCACGTGTGTGTCCTCGATGTACACCATAAACACGCGCGCGAGGTTCCACACTGCAAACGCTTTAACCCGGACCGGTCCGGAGTCACCCTGAGGTGGCACTCGTCCGCGGGTGAGCTCAACGCTGCATCGGACCAGGGCTGAAGCGTCACAACCCCGAAGTAAAAACATTCGCCTGGAGGCATTGACTGTATACGGTAGGAAGCGAGTTTGCCCATGGGATTGATGCCCTAGTTTCAAAAAGGACTGATGAAAAAAAAAATTCTGATGAAAAAAACTATTTTAAGAAACCATTCCCGTTTCAATTTGTTTTCGACACAGGTGCAAAACAGTGTATCTACTTTTCACCTGACCAATAATCTTTTGGACAGAGGTGTCAAATGCTTTATCGTCACATTCGAAAACCCCAAATCTCCTCAGACTGCGGAGAAATTGCACCGGACACAATAATGCATGCAGATGAAGTATATAGACGAAATCACCCAGGTCTAAAAGCATACACGGGGAATGAATTACTGCCTTACAAATCTCCTGGGTCGAGGCGAGACTAAATTTGGCAGAGACGTTCAAGGAGCACGGCACATTTTTCGTTCACGGTGTATATTCAACTTGTATTCACCCCGACAAACCCGCGGTCGTCAACCGTACCGAACCAGCGCCAAAACAGGTAGAGATAGCGTCGCTCTGGCGGGCACCGGTGTGGATAAAGAGGAGGGGAAAACTGAGGAAGAAATTAGCCATGAACAAAAATATACGAAGACGATATTTGAGAGTAGACGGAGGAGGCCAAGGGGAAAGATACGGCGTGGAGGGAGGGTAAATGAACTGTATTGGGGGAAGAGTTAAGATGAAAGGGCAAGATGGATGAGATGGAGTGACGCCCGGGGAATATGGCGTTGATGGAGACACACGGATATAGGAGCGATTTCTATCAGCAGAGAGGGCGCATGTCATATCGCAACAAATATAGATGATCAGTTGATTGGATGTATCCAGACTAACAATTTCGGAAAAGTGCAATCAGCTGTTCGATGGTCTCAAATTCATTTTGAAGTCAGCGTTCACATTTTAGTTATTATTGCAACTTGTTATTGTTTTTTTTTTTTGAAAAAAAAACCAAACAATCAAACGCCTAAAAAATATATATATATTTGATAATTCGTCACCGTTTTCACGAAGAGCCACATATGTCAAATATTACAATTTTTTCGATTTTGATTTTGTTCAATATTTCGCATTAAAACAATGTACTTAACCAAGTTGACATGTTTCTGTAAGCAAAACATCATTAATTTCTAAGTTACATTACTGTTGCAAGGGGCAGAGATCTCGATAAATGCATTTTGCGTTTTCACGAAGAGCCACATACATTTTGGCCCTTTGAACGCGTACAAAACCCATTGCACGGAAATACGTAAAAGTAGGTCAAAATGAGATTTGCGTTTTCACGAAGAGCCACATATCTTTGTTACATTTTCAGCTGCGCGCGCGTACTCACGCGCGCCTATGGAAATACACGTTGAACAAAAAGGGCCGATATCTCGGAAACCTGAATTTGCGTTTTCACGAAGAGCCACATATCTTTACTAATTAATTTTTACTAATTAACTGCTGTATTAGGTCTTATTACCGGGTTCATGCAAAACTTCAGCTCTCGTAGAATCGTGTGGTGGTTTCCTTGCTGCACAAAGTTGTTGCAAAGTCGTATTTCTTGAAGTTTTAAAATATGAGAAACTTCATTTGCGATTATCTCGAAAATACTTTTCTTATAGCCCTAAAAGAGGCATATCTGCCCGATGATTTCAGAAATGCACTGGTTTTAATAGTTGAAATATTCATGTTTGAAAAAATAATATTAATATGCTTCACCAGACAATCCATTTTGTAATGGTAGTCATAAATATATCATCAATATATAAAACGAAGGGAAACAATCCTTCCATATTTTTTGCAGTTATCATCCTTAACGGAAATGAAAGTTCAATCAACTGTAGCTTATGTAAGGTTGGCTTAGTTGCCTAACACTGCATTATACTTTTAGTTAAAAGGTCTGGCAGACACTTTAAGAAGTCATTGCTCCTTAAAGGTCAATCTTCGCCTCCGTGCACTCAACTCAGAATGTTGTGAAGACTTGTGTAAATATCTCTGTAAGAGGTTTTCTTTGTCTCCCATCAAAATCTTGAATCCGAGGCTGGGACGTGAGTCGCTTCGTCTTAGTCTCCAGGTCCCTTGTAAATTATCATTCCTGTATGCGTCCCAAAGCAGCCAGCGATCGGTCTCATGGAGTATCCAGCAGGAGTGCAAACTGGACTGATCAATGAGCTTCAATGCTTCGCCCCTTTTTTAAGATGCGAAGGGGTTTTTTTTCTTCTTTCTTTTGTTCCCCTTAAGATGCGCTCCGTGACATCCCAAGGGAGAGCAGGAGAACGTGCAGTCAAGCGCTTCCGTACTTGTGACGTGAGCGAAACAAGGAGAAGTGTTTGATAACTAAAATAAACCGCTGGTCCCTCTGCCTAGCCTCAGCTAACCTTTCAGCAGCTTGCCAGGCTAAGTGGCCCTCAATTTGGCAAGACTTGACCGCAAATTGAAACTCCAGTTTAGTTTTAGGACTGCGCACATGCCACAGGCGTTTCAATTTCAAAATGATGATTGCCTGTTTCGTATGGATTATAAGATTCGAGTGCACTTCATGAGACACGCAACGATGCGCGACAGATAACCGGGACAGATGTCTGTTACTTTTGGACCCATTGAAAGAAGAGGATCACTTCTGAATCTCTGAATTTCGATTGCCATTTTCAGCCCTATACAGTTTTGTTTCACATTCAATAAAATAGCATTACTTTCTCCGACTCTGATTTTGCTTCCATACATGGCATAGATCAATCATTGCAGATGCCATATGTGAATAAAAGTTGATGCAGCAGCTGATTTTAAATGCCAGCAAGATTAGAATAGAATTTAATTACTTCTTCTGATTGTTATAATTGATAATTGCAACGGTTGAACTTGGCCAGATGACCTGGAGCTCAAATTGAGTGCACAAATTCGCTGAGCTAACTTAATCCACTTACTGAATGATTGCCAGGCAATGGGAGACTTTTGAGACGCTGGTGGCAGCAAACACACCAGTCCTTTTCTACTGTTTGCGTCATTTGAGCATGCGCACATTAGCTTAAACATGGCCTTAACTCCCGTAACCTGTCTAATTTAACTATGTAAATCCCATCCCGGTGGAATGGGTGAAAGACCCATAGGTTTTTATAATCTGTTAGATCTCTGGTATACATGAACGGATTTCCATGGCATTTATACTTCTTCTTATCGAGTCCACTTCACAAAGCTAAATTCTGTTCAGCCAACGCCGAACACATTTCTCTGCATCTTCATTGCAAGTGCTAGGGCATTTATACTGAATATACACAAGAGTGTAATTGATTATGTTAATACATTTTTGGGTCACCCCGTATTGGCCCTAATGTTATATAGTCTGTTCCAGGTAAATGTGTCGGCACCTGCTTCACTATAAGTCAAACAGGCTGGACTTTTACTTTTGTTATTATTACTGAATAGTGTTTATTTATATGCTGAAATTATAATAAAACGATACTGATAGGAAATAGTTTGGGTTGAAAATTCTTCATTTGACCAAATTATTTTAAATGACAAATTTGGTTGAGAAATTCAGCACTAGGCCTACCTCGTGGTAAGAAATTGTGTAAAATCAATTGTTAAAATCACACACAGTTTGAAGATGTTAAATAAAAAAACTAGGCCTACCTCGTGGTAAGAAATTGTGTAAAATCAATTGTTAAAATCACACACAGTTTGAAGATGTTAAATAAAAAAAATCAACTCATTCAACAGAGTTGGCAAAAATAAGTTACATGAAAACCATCCAAATCAACCGATTTAGGCCTATGGCATTGAGCGACTAAAATTGAACGCAATTGTAACTCGGGCCTGATGGAGTCATAAAAAAATAACACGAAAAGATGTTGTTTTTTTTTGTATACAGTCCTTGATGTTTGACTGTTATGAACATGGGCGTTGCGGGGGGGGGGGCAAGGGGGATGCCCTCCCCCCCCCCAGAAATCGAGAAAAAAAAGGAAAAAGGAAAAAAAAAAGGAAAAAAGGTGCAAATCCATATTGCTGTTAATTAGATGGGGGGGTAGGGCAAATAGTCCCCTGCTCACGCTCGGAAAAATGATCAATTGAGAATACAATGAAAAGGTTAAGGAATTTTGGGGGAAATTTGCTTTGGCCCCCCCCCCCCCCAACCCTGGAAAAAAATCCTTGCGACGCCCGTGGTTATCAAAACAATTCCAATACAATCAGGCGTAAGGTTCATGTTTTATTAGTAGAACAAACAATCTAGATATTTCCTCGTGTACATATCTTCCGGCCTCTTGCTGGAAATGGAGATTTTCA